ATATATATATTTTATATAATTCATTCAAAATTCAAGTATAGTATTTATATTTAAAAAAAAAATAAGGGTGTGTTTAATTGATAGATTTAAATCATAATTTATAATCTTAACCTTTAAAATTTAAATTTTTTATTAAAAAAAATATTATAAGAAAATTAAAAATCATAATTTAAACTATGCATCTCTCAAAATAAACACACCCATCCCTAGAATTTATCATTGGTCGACTAGACTGCTTTTCCGACTACTGAACAGAGACAGCATAAAGGGTACAAAAGAAGAGAAACGACGATTAGCAAAAAAAACAAAAACAAACAAACAAACAAGAAGAGAAACGACAAATCTGATGCCCAAGAAATCTTATTAAGCTCAAAATTAGGGGGGGAAAATCTAAGATTTTCCTTTCATGAACGATGTTCTCGATACAATTAATTTTCGCCGGTTTAAATAACAAACACAAAACTCTATGATCCCTCTTTTCTTCTCTTGTGGATTAAGTTACAAGAATATTCTACTGATCAAAAAGGCCTTTTACAATGACAGCGGATCATCCTATATTATTCAGCAGGTTTTTTTCTCTCTTTTCCTCTTCTTACTTCTCTTATTCAATAATCCTCTCTCTGCTAGCGTCTTTAGTTTCTGCTTTCTCCTATCTTTGGCCTTCTCCTCAAAGCCATCATCCCTCATCTTCATTATCGCCACGCGTCTAGCGCTGTAAACCTGCATATCAAGTAAGAAACACACAACCAGAGTCGGATATACGTCCTTTTTCATCAAACAGGAGCAGAGATGCAGCAAATGCTAAGATTTAACGAGCCGTCAATCTGAATTAATGAAAATACCGTTTATACAAGTCTTTAGAACTTTAAGCCCACAAGGGCACTTTCAGGGGAAAAGAAAAATGTGAAGAAAATCTGGCCTCAAAAAGCAGAATATCTCAGACTGTCTATAACTTTTAAACACTTTAGTTGACCGTTTATGGCACTTCGAGAAAAGAAGAGTAACAAATATCTGTGGAAGCCTAAAGCTCTAAAAATTTGTAATTCAGGAAGAAACTCTTTTAAAAGAAACAGACCAATTGTCCTTTGGTATCTTACCATTTTGATATCATCTAGCACCTCGTTCTCTTTGCACTCGAACTTATCCAATTGTTTCCCAAGAACAGCTTCTATTTCACGAATAAGGTCTATGTCGTTCTGCAAAATGCATGTCCCCACCATTAGCAAAAGATATATATAGACACCAAACAGACATTAAATCCACCCGTCCAACATTTTACTCGTCATTTATATAATACTAACCTGTGAAACAAAGCTGACAGCTAACCCTCCTCTGCCTGCTCTTGCAGTACGCCCCACACGATGAACATAATCTCTTGGAAACCTGCAGTGGGATGGCCATTAAATTTTACGTCAACTGCAAGTTGGTGAAAACTATAGTAATGGTAACGATTCAATCAAATAAATACCTTGGAATATCATAGTTGATGACAAGATCAACTGTAGGAATATCCAAACCACGACTGGCAACATCCGTAGCGAGCAATATGGGAACCTGACCGGATTTAAAGCGATGTAATGCAGATAACCTTAGAGACTGAGAATTGAATGAATGCAATGCCACAACTTTCTGATCCAGCTCTTCCAGTAACAAACTCAAAAGGTGACAACTTCTGCATCCACATTATAAAGAAGGAAAAATATACATAATTACCCGAATATACTTCCAAGAAATTAGAGAACGTCAAACTGCAGGTAATAAGAGATTTCAATACGTAGTGTAGTTATCATATTGATGATAATCAGAAGTAAAAGCAGAAAGAAAATCAATCAAACAGCACAAGAAAAAGCAGACCATCCAGCTTAAATTCAGAATATACCTGCAAGTTGAGACAAATATCATGGCGGAACGAATACCCATATCTTCCATCTTAGACAAAGTGTGTACCAGATAAACATCCTTCACATCTTTGGGTACAAGAAGATACTGCTGCTTAAGAGTTTCAACTGTCTTGAACCCTTCATATGCCTCATAAAAGTATGCCTTATTTGCAGAAAGCTCAAGAAGCGTCTGAAGGTCACTAGTCATTGTGGCAGAAAATAACAAAGTCTGTCGATTCTTTGGCAAGCACTGAAACACCACTTTCAACTCCTCTTCGAACCCAACATCCAAAACTCTATCTGCCTCATCCAAAACTAGAAACTGAAGAGAACATAAAGGCAGTAGAAAGAATAAGTACACAGAAAATAACAAAAAAGAAAATTTATGATCTGAGGAAAGGAAACTAATGGAGAGAAACTAGACCCTAAGACAAAAATTCAAGTAAAAGATTTCAAAATCCAACTCCATTAAAGGTTTAGCATGCATATTCTACACCAACTCCTCTTAAACCAAACACCCACAACTATGTTAGACTCATCCAAACCAGAAACTCACGCAAAGGTTAAGAAAGTATACACGGTTTGTTCATGGAACAGGAAAAACATGAAAAGAAAATACCTATAGTCAGTACCTTATGTGTAAAAATAAAAGGAACAACAACAATGGAGAGAAACCAAACTCCAAGAAAAACATCCAAATAAAGCGAATCGAAAAAACCCAACTTCATTACAGGTTCAACAATCAACATACACATTCTACACTACTCCTTTTCAAAACCCAACAATTGATCCAAGAAAAGAAACGGAAGCAACCCTATTAAACTAGTCTATAAACAATAAGTTCATGAAAAACAATACAAAAAGAAATACTTCACCACCTAAGGGGAAAAATATAACGGAGAGAACACCAGATTCTAAGAAAAGCATTCAAATAAAAGATTTCACAAAACGCAGCTCAGTTACGGTTTCAACCAGCTTATACTTCAACATCACAGCTTCTACATGCAAACCTACAACCTTTCCAATTTCTAGAAGGAAAACAAAAATGGAAAGAAAATAGATGGAAAAGAAAACATTCAAACAAGGATTCCCAAAACCCAACTCCATATTGAACCCATTACAGGTTCAATATGCATATCCTACAACATCATAGCTTCTACAATGCAAAGCTACAAGCTTTCCAATTTCAGGAAGCCGAAAGGAAAATGAAAACCGAGCGAAAATAGATCCTAACAAAAACATTCAAACAAGGATTCCCAAACCAAACTCCATTACAGCTTCTATTATAACAAAGCTAGAAACTTTCCGATTCCCAGACATTACTTAACCCAAAAAAGTGAAAATTGAAATCACATTCACCTTGGTCTTCGCAAAGAGACGAGGAATATCGGGATTCTCTTCAAGCAAGACCTTGATTCTCCCGGGCGTGGCGATGACGACATGAGGTCTGGCCATCAAGCTTTTGGCTTGCGTCAGCATATCCATGCCTCCGACAATCACGGAACACTTCAAATATATACACGATCCCAAAGCCCTAAACTGCTCCGCCAGCTGGTACGCCAGCTCCCTCGTCGGCGTCACCACCAACGCGAACACGCCGAACGGGTCGTCCGCCAGCCGCTGCAGGATCGGCAGCGCGAACGCCGCCGTTTTGCCGCTCCCGGTCTGGGCCAGGCCCAGCACGTCGCGGCCCGCCAGTATCTTCGGGATGCAGTGGGCCTGGACCACCGTCGGCCGCCTCATCCCGAGCTCCTTGCACGTCCGCACGGCCCACTCCGCAAGCCCGAGTTCCTTGAACGACGCCGCCGACGAGGCATCCGTCGATTTCTCCACGTGCGGTTCTCCTCCGCCGCTGTCGGAGTCATCATCGGCGGCGCCAGCGAAGGGTTTGGGGTTGGGTTTTGAGCGGGGTTTAGGGTTTTTCGAGGATTTGGAGAAGAGAGGGAAGCTCTTATCTATGGTGATTTCTTCTCCTTCTTCCATTCTGATTATGTAGATTGAGAAATTCAGGGACTATTTGGGATGTATTACAGATTTTCTCTATTTTTTCACTCTGTTGTTTTCCGCCGCCAAATATTTTCCCGGAAAATTTTTTGTTTGGATTGCGAAGGGAACATAACAGCATTGTAGTGGTTTGGGCCGGAACCTAATGGGTTGTGAAATGTTAGCCCAAGGAAACAGTGGGCCAGAAGTTTATGGCGGGAATCAATTAGTTTTGCGAACTAAATTTGTTGCGAGCAAAATTGCAAAGGTACCCATATATTTGAGCGTAACTCGATAATCCTCCTCATATTATTATTTATTAGTATTTACCATTTTAGTACCGACATCTTTTTTTAGGAAAAGTACAGACATTTTTTGTATTTAAAATTTTTTTAAAAAATATTTATTGACCGGCCAACGGAAATTACAATATCGAGATCTTTATTATTTCACCGATTTAAATTTAAAATTTAAATTTTATTATAGTAAAAAAATTTTAAAAATATTTATATTTAATTTTTTTATTACAATAAAATTTTTTTATATAAAATTAAATCTCAATTTAAATTAAAAATTTAAATCAATAAACTAAACAACTCTAAACATACATATTGAATTTTCAAAATACAAAGGGTATAATATAAATCAAACAGAAAGGACAATTTTAGAAAATTTCCCTTTCGTGTGAACCACATTTCTCATTTCTCACTGACGTTAGTGGTGACGTATTTCCATTAACGACCCAGTTCGAAGACATATAGAAAGAGAAATAACAGACAAACCCAATAGTATTTGCCATTTGGCAATCGCAAGTAAACGAAACATAGAGAGAGAAAGCTAGAGAGAGAAAATGGAGTCGCCGTTCAGGGCAGATATAGTTAAAGGAAAGGTGGCTCTGATAACTGGAGGCGCATCGGGAATTGGGCTCGAGATTTCGACAGAGTTCGGCAAACATGGCGCCTCTGTTGCCGTCATGGGTCGACGAAAGCATGTCATCGACTCCGCCGTCGATTCTCTTCGCTCGCTTGGAATTCCGGTACTTCCTTATATGTGTGTCTGTATATATATATATATAGAAGCCAAATCGCTGCTTTTTATGATTGTATGGGTGCCCATTTGAGCTAATTAACGTGAATAACCGATCACAGTACACAGTATATAATTCATGATCGTATGAGAAGAAATTCTGCATATGAATTGAGGAGCTTTGTTAATATTCTTTCTTTTGTTTTCGGGTTATTTTGTAGAGAGCAACTTTTAGGAATCACGGTTTACATGGGATGTGGAAGGAAAAAGAAAAATCACGTTTATTGGCTTGGATTAACAAAGATTATGTTTTGTTTTAAAATTTTCGATCAGAACTTACTGGTTCAATGTTTCAATCTAATTGAGCTGTTCTCTATGCTGCAGTGGTCTTATCTTAGTTTTTGGTTGACATAACATGCATTTTAAATGGCCTGTTAAGAGGCCATTTTATAGTTGAATTTTCAATTGGGTTTGTTTTCTTTCACGTATTTGTTTAAACTTAAATTTACATTATCAGTAAATTGATTTACTTCTATGGATCCATGGCCTTTCAATGGATTTAATTTGTAATATATCTCAATTATATCCTTTTTTTTATCTCAGGCTGTTGGGTTCCAGGGGGATGTTCGAAAGCCTGAAGATGCGAAACGAGTTGTGGAATCGACTTTTCAGCATTTTGGTAGGCTTGACATACTTGTGAATGCTGCAGCTGGGAATTTTCTTGTCTCGCCAGAAAATTTGTCCCCTAATGGGTTTCGAACAGGTTGGGTGTTGTAATTGTTGTCAACATATTTTTTTTTTACTTTTTTTTTTTGCATTATACTACGGGTTAGTATATATAAAATATATATATATATATATATATATATTGGAATAGATTAATATTAATATATATATTTTTGGAATAGAGTATTAATCCTTGAAAGCCTGAGAATTGGGTTATGGTAAAAGCTGGAGAATTCAAATTTTGTTGATTAGGAAAATCATCGTATTAAGGTCAAAACTGAAGTGTAATTGACCGTCTCATTATGAAGAAGTTCCAGCACACGTGAATAAACATTTCTTTGGTCAACCGAGCCTCATCACTGTTTCATTCTTATATTTGTTTTTATTTTTTATTTTTTGTTTCCTATAAACTTGCTCGCTTGAAAGTTGACAAAATCATTTTGTTTACTCTTTTGTTTTTGGTCGTTGAACTTTTATAGCAGACTTCTCATCAGTAACTTGCAATTAAATTTGTCTATTCCTTTTAGTTTTGGACATCGATGCTGTTGGTACATTCACAATGTGCCATGAAGCACTCAAGTATCTCAAGAAAGGAGGGCCAGGAAGGAGCTCATCTGATAGTGGTGGAGTAATATTGAACATCACCGCTACCTTACATTATACAGCTTCGTGGTACCAAATTCATGTGTCTGCAGCCAAGGTCGGGTTTACATTTTTAGATGTAGCATAGATCTATTTTCCACATTGAGTTTCGTCTTTAAATTTCTCGTCGCTGCAGGCGGCTGTTGATGCTACAACAAGAAACTTGGCATTGGAGTGGGGGACTGACTATGATATTAGGGTCAATGGGATTGCACCTGGTCCTATTGGTGATACTGCTGGAATGAGTAAACTCGCGCCTCAGGAGATAAATAGCAAAGCTAAAGACTACATGCCCTTGTACAAGTTAGGAGAGAAATGGGATATTGCAATGGCTGCTCTCTATCTCTCTTCAGATGCAGGTCAGTAGTGGCTTCACTCCCGTATGCGGATGCATTCCTATTTGCATGGAACTATTTTCCAATCCTCGCCAAGTATAGAGGACGTGTTTACTAACTTGTAATATAATGTAATGGGAAAGGGAAACGTGCTGGAAAGTAAAAGAAAAGGCATAAGAAAGAGGATCGTTGATTCCTTTTCTGGTTTTCATTTACCTGCATATCATTATTGGGTAGATTTATTAAGGTTACCTAAGTACTTTTGTGGTTTATTCCAATTGAAAGGGAAATAGTACCATGAGGTAACTCAGAATTGGTTCTATTTTTGCTCATTCCCTACATCATGTGACCCCCACCAAATTCGTGCTTTTCATTTCCCAAGTAAACACATGAATAGGCATGAAAGGGAAACATTTCTGCGACTAGTAGACATGCCCAAAAGAGTGGAACTCTGATATCGTATACAGAATTCTAGGTGTTGTTGAAACTTGAATTTGATTCTCTAAGTTTGGATAGGTATTTAAGAGTGCAACTAAATATTTATTTTTTTTGGGGGTTGTGTGAACCATGCAGGTAAATACATTAATGGAACGGTTATGGTAGTTGATGGAGGACTCTGGCTGAGCCGCCCTCGCCATCTACCGAAAGAGGAAGTTAAACAGCTTTCAAGATCTGTGGAGAAGAGGTCTAGAGATGTACAGGTAGGAGTCGCAAGAAGCAAGATATAAAGACAGGATGAAATCATTTTGTATGGGTAATGCCAAAACCCCGAAGGCTGCAAAACTTGGCTAGTCAAATAGCTACCATAAGTATTTCAAGAAAGGACTTGATTCCTAAATAGTTTATTGGCTCATTAATATTTTGGATATCTGTTCCTGTATGTTGTTTGCAACACTTAAACAGTAGCAATCAGAAATTCAGAATACCTTTTTTTATTTCTTTTACCAGAAAACTTTATTATCAATTGCAAAGGAAAAGGAATAATTACCAATCAAATACAAAACTGGCATGAAGCATCGTCAAGCCTCATCTGAACATAATATAAGAATGATTGTCTACATTACGCCTTTTGCCTATAAAGAAAACTGAAACGCTTGTGTGTTAGGGTGATCTAGTCGACATTCTGCTAGCAATGTTTCGGCCTCAGGAACTGCAACAAATTTAACTCCTTTGTCAACCAGCATCTGGATTGGTTGCAAAATTTATTAAACGCTCCGCTGCAAATATGTGTGGACTTCTTGGCTTTGAAGAGGCTCGGCATTTACGAAAAAATACTCTAAATAGCCTTGAACATCACGTCATGGTCAATTGGTTTTGTCGACAACGCAGTTCCCAAACTTTTGGATGGCAGTAACTTGAGCATTTGGTTTTTTACGCAAAGAACTGACATCGCGAGATTTCCATCTGTAAGTGTTTAACATCTGTGCAATGGTGCAGGATATATGTCCAATGAATGATATCGCAATCGATCATTATGCGGCAACGGTCCCTCCTAACAAGCAATGTGGTATATGTTCAATGTTAAAAAAATTCTTCCTCAAGGTTAATAATGAAACTAGCAATAATATTCTCTTTACTGGTCAGAAGAAAAAAGGAATTTACCTCTTCCAAGTTTATCTGGTATGGCTTTACGTAATCTTCAAACATAACAGGAGAAAGGCCCTTCATTTTCTCTTCAACCTCCTACCAAAAGGAAAGCCAAGATAGTTATGAAACATATAAAACTACATGGGTTTAGACCCCGACTATTTTATTAAAAGTTGGCATCTGAAAGGTGAGAATTAAGTCGACATCCATCCTCAAAAAAGAAAAAAAGTACACATGAAGAAGCTGAAATTAAAAAATGGTGTTCGTGAGCTAAAAAGTACAATTGTCTTGTTCTAAAATCATTTTTCTTTTCTTTTCTCTTCTAAAATCAAAATACGTGTGAAGAAGCTGAAATTAGAAGACGGTGTTTGTTAGCTTACTAGTCCAGTTATCCTCGACTTCTCCAATAATTCCGTGGTTATCAGGTCCAGTATGTGTCTATTGTTCCTCAGAGCATTCATTGCAAGCTCTTCTGTTTCTTCAATATACTGCAAGCAAAGCAATATCACATTTCATAACATCCCATTTCATTCACCAAAAAATCATAAAATTGAGATGGATTGGCATCTTAATAGATCACCTAACTAGAAAAATAATGAGAAGCATAAAGAGCACCACTTGTTATAGGACATTATGCCTTTCATTTTATTTTTTTCCTCTTTCGGTCATATAAACATGAAACACCTTGTCACCTTCTACTCATTGGCCTCTTAGCGAAGCAAAATAATAATAATAATAATACAAAAGCAAATTATTTTACCCGCGTCAATTCTCGATTAAATAGCTCGGACACTTCAGGCGTCATTTTGGCAGGAATCACATGTGGATCGTCCCACTATGAGGAATGATAATAAGAAAAATTAGACTGATTAAAATATCAATTAAAAGAGTTCAAGATATGAAGCATGTTATCAATTTGGCAACTTTCAAATGGAAAGAGATTACTCTGTATCTTATCAACTCGCCATCTGGATTATCCGGTCGATCCACTAGTCCAATTCTTTTTGTTAAAGGAAGGAGCCCCAACCTCCGGTTTTGAGGGCTGATAACCATCTCTCGAGCAATCTGAAGAGATCAACTTGGCTTATATTAAAGGCACTCTTCTAAACATAGCTTAAAAGAGAAAACCCGCAGTTACCTTTGTTATCTTTTCAAGATCATCCCTTCCCCCATCAGTTATATCATCACCATATACAACACGCTCGGCACAACGACCACCATGTGCAACCACCATTTGCATCTTCATGTAGCCGAATGTTGTGTAACCTTGGTCCACCATATTTTCTCGGGGATAAAACACAGAAATTGCAGTTTCCTACACATGTCAAAAAGGAAAACCCCTCAAGAAAAAACATCTTTTAAAACTTTTAATAGAATCCACCAAGAATCCCATTCTGCCGCCAGAATTTGTACCTTGCCACCAGGCAGGAGCTGAGAGAAAGCATGCCAATCAAACTGTGGAAACAAATGAGCTAAGACTATGTGACCAGCTTCATGTACAGCCAGCAGCCTCTTCTTTTCATAAGACACCTGGTATGTAATTTTAAGCAACCAATGATTAAAGAAATTGTATCAGCAGTTCTTACTTTCTTTAGAACCAACAAAAGAACTGTGTGAGTTTCAAAAAAGGAAAAGAAAAGGAGAACCGTGTGGAGACGCTTACACTTTCTTCACATTTTCGTTGCTCTTCTTCAGTGAGAAGTACACCCATACCCTCCAGCAATTGTTTGTCTAATACGTCAACAATATCTTGCTGGTGAATTTTGGAATGTCCTTTTCTCACCTGCAATATGAAGTTGTGTGCAATCAGCAGTCACTTAAAATAAAAAAAAAATAAAAAAATAAAATAAAAAGAAGGAACATAACTATTTAACTAGAAGGAATTGCTAAAATGCGTTAAAGATAACTTGAGGATTTGGAACATTCGGCTGACAGACCACAACGTATGATAGCCAGGAGGAATAGGATCATTTCTGCTAGTTGCATGTGTAAGTTTTCAAAAACAGCAAACTGCTTAAAATTTTCAAAAGGACATGAGAAAAAATTATCTTCACCAATGTTACAAAACTTCTTAAGGATATAGCAATTCAAAGCAACTAACTCGCGTGAAACTGCTAAATAATCAGGAAAACATATTATCATATTTCCACAAACACCTAAAGGCAATTTTGCAATGACATTGTATAACTTTAGACACACAAACTAAAAGATAAAGCAAGGTCTCACTTCATACACGTAACCATTCAACTTACCGACATAATTGCTGCTTCGTTGACAAGATTCCGGATATCTGCACCAGAAAATCCAACTGTACGGAAGACGAGCTGTACAGTCCAAAAAAGAACAAAGCCAAAAAACCAGATTGTATTTACTTTACCAAGTACAAGCATCAAACAAGCACCACTTTAACAAACTGAAAACAAACCAAAGCTTACTTTTCCAAAGTCTACATCATCTGCTAGCTGCTTTCCTGCACTATGCACACCAAAAATTTGAACTCGTTGCTTCGAATCGGGCAAACCTATGTACAAACGACGGTCAATCCGTCCTGGACGAACAAATTCAAGGTCCAACTCATCTGGCCTATTGGTTGCACAGATGAATATTACCGCTTGTCTAAGTGAGAATCTATCAACACCAGTTTTTTCCTTCCTAAACATGACAAGCATAAATATGAAGAAATCAGCAACAGCTTTTGTAACATCTATCAAGAAAAACCACTCATTACCACTGAAACATTATAATAGAAAACAAGCAAGCTACAAAATGAATAACTGAATTGTTATGGAACTCCATTGCCCTGAGAATTCCAGCCAGTTAAAAAACAAATAGATACATTTCCTTTTGGGCTGCATAACTTACTCTCCTTCAAGCTGTGCTATCAGAGCCTCAAATGTTGCCCTTCTTCTGGGATCCTTTCTCGCATGTCTTCCAGCAATTGCGTCAATTTCATCCACGAACACAAAAGCAGGAGCCTGCACAAAGGACAGCTAATAAGTTGGAACATTTGTAAAAAATACATTAAATAAAAAGAATAAGAAAAGGGATGGAGAATAGAGAATGGAGAATGGAGATGGATTAACTACGGCTTCCCCATTGTGTAAATTTACTAATTTAAGTTCTAAACAGTTCAATTTACGGGCTTGATAAAAGCTCCTGGGCTTACCCTCTAAATTTCGTGCAGAACATAAAATTCAAATGAAAAAGGAAAAAGGAAACAGAAGAATGCTCACATTTCTCCTTGCAATGGAAAACATCTCATTTATTCGAGCAGCGCCACTCTTTTCGCTATCTGTGAACTCAGCACCAGAAGCAAAAACAAATGGCAGTCCACTTTCTTTTGCAAGTGTCCTTGCAAAAAGTGTTTTTCCTGTTCCAGGAGGTCCAGAGAGAAGAACGCCCTGTAATTCACATAGACTTGGTCACATTACATTCTCAAGTGCTAACCTCATCTCCTTGCCTCAATCCATTAGAGCACATAATTAAATAAAATAAAATAAAATACCCGAACAAACTGCACGCCTCTTTCATAGTACTGCATTGGGTTTCCCATATAAATCATGAGCTCATCAAGAAGATCCCAAACGTCACCTCCTAATACCACTTCCTTGCGCATTGATTTTGTTTCGCCAACATCTCCAACTGGCTGAATGAAATAGTAAATGAAATGAGAACAAAAAAATTTAAAGAAATGACAATAACGGAAAAAATAATTTGAGAAATCAAAATACAAAATATTTTACCAAGATGAAATTTTCTGCATAAGCCATATCATAAAGTTGATTATACTTCTTGTGAAGAAAACGCTTTGATGTGATGAGCATAAGCATCGAGGATTCCCTTAAAAGCCAAAGAATCAGAATTCCAGGCGCTAAAGCAATCACGACTTTCAATAAGTAATGGATCTGACGCTTCTGAAGGAGGTCTACTTCAACACCAGAACTCGAAATAGTCTCAAACAAGTATGGATCTAGGGGAATATCAACCTAACAAAAAAGAAATAAAATTAACTATATGTTGAGGAGAGAAAATTTGGATTTGATAGTTACCAAAAAAAATATATATATATATATATATATCATATCTGCAATTGCTTTTCATTTATGGAGTTTTCTTCCACTCAACTTACAATATATTCTAGTGGAAAACCTTCTTTCATTGTGACATATACTCTCTTTAGATCCTCTGTAAATACAACGGCAGCAACCTGTCCAAAAGAATCATTTTGCATCAGAAACTGCATGCCATGTACTTTTACATGTATGCCACTAATTTACAACATAATCAGATGTTTGGAATCGATAATTATATACCATTAGCACTCGGTGTTTAAGGTGAGCAAGAAAATGAAATGCTATAACGTCTTTTCATAAACCAATACACACACAAAACTTGAAATCAAATAGATAGTAGGAAACAAAATATCAGTGAGCATACCATAAAGAGAAAAGAAAACTATATCACAGGAATGCGACGACTTACCTCAGAGCTATCTAGTTTTTGAAGAAAATAAGTGTAAGGAAGTTTGGGACGATATAGCCACCATCTCTTAGAAATCCACAACGCCCTAGTTCCTTGTATCTCTGTTGTCTTTTCCACAAGATCCTTGCGAAGACTGTTCTCAACCTCTTTCATGTCAAATTCAACTGCATATTTAGCATTTTGGGAATCTACTTGTTCAGTTAACTTTTCCTTTTCGATGATCTCGTTCCACTTTTGAAGTCTTTCACGCCACATTCCTCCACCTTCCCGAATTTCACCTGCAAAGCAAAGACACAAAATAAATAAATAAAAGAAAAGCACTATGATTCCCAAACATATAGATCATAACTATAAGAGGGAGAGTTGAAGAAAATTTCCCTACCCCCTCCGATACAATTCTTTTTTTTTTTTGTTGGTAAAAACAGGAACTTCATTGAACTAAAGGAAAGTATAACTGAAGTTAGCCGATGGACAAAAAAGATAACAAAAATTCTAATAAGTACAACACATAATTCATTGATAGTAACCATGATTTAGTTGCTGTATGTTTGTAACCTCTTGATTCATGTAAAAGATGCACCGATAACTTAGACTTCAACTGTGTGTAAAAGTTCCTTATTCAATCCTAAAATCCTACTAAGAGTAAATTGCAGGACAGAATTGGGAAAAGTATATGTAAAGAAATATGTAAGACAGAACTCTAATTCATAAACATCTCAATCAGCGGGTGATTTAAATAGTTTGCCATGCACAGGTACAGTATATTGTTAGTCTACTGTTAGTATTTCAAATAGAATCTGAACCAAAATCTCCTCGTATTAATATTAACAGAAGCATGAAGAAACTCAGGTCCTTGATGCAAGTGCCAGATAGCACGTCTCTCGTTAGACACAAGAACAAATAAATAATAGCGAGAATATGCATGGATGATATGTAATGCAAAACTTAAGGCCAAAATAGACGTGATATTATGCATGGAGTGCACATCCAAACAAACCTGAAATTCCCAATTCTTGCTTAACCTCTTTCTTTTCTTCTGGTTTTAATTTTGTGTCGCCATCAAGAATTTGCATTATGTTTTCCTGAGGCAGCTCTGGATCATCATCCCATGCGTCCTCACCCACAAAAGAACTATCGCGAACAATTGTTCCGTCAGGTCTTTCAATAAACTTCTTCATTTTCAAGCCTTTGGATGTTGTTTTCCTCCAGATACTCTTCTTAAACCTGCATTGATAGGAAGCATGTTACGTTTAGTAAATGCAAACTCTGGAGAAATAAAACAACCAGAAATCTGAATCTTAAAAAAAAAAATAATAATAATAATAAGAAGAACTTAGGGAGCTGCAATTATTATAAAATAAAAAAAGGAAAATGAAAAATGACTTACTTTCTTACGTTAGTAGGAGAAGGCTCAGGAATCAATGCCTCCATATAAGCCTCTGTCAACTCTTTTCTTTGGCGATTTAGGTAAGGAGCTCGAATCGCTAAGTATATTCCTCGAGAAGAAATTGCGGCAACAAAGATATAGACAACCAATGCAGCAATTCGTTTAGAATCCCAAGACTTCAAATCCTAGAAATAACAAATGGGAATGTTTTTTATCATTGTTTAGCTTATCCTACATGATCTATTTCGACAATGTAGATCATTCATGACCTCACCCTTGGAATGAAATTTTCATAACAAATTTTCCTAAATAAGCGTCATTAAAACAAGTACATACAGATCAAGGTAAAAGACAATAAAACGTGCTAAGTAATAAAGGTCCTCTGCTACCAACTCACGTACTAATGAGAAAAGAAAAATCTATGCACTTTCAGCCCGAAAACCTTCAAAAGACCAAAACTTTGAATCTTCCTTAACCTTCTGTTTTCCCATACTTTCTCACAAACCAAACATAACCCTCAACAAAAGGGCTTTTTTGAAAGAAAAAGCTAAAGCTAAGCAGATTTTTACCTTCCAATGCTGCCATTTGTTCCAATCCACAAACTCGGCCAACACATCAGTCCTGAACCGGTCCAACTCGCTCCCACTCACCTTCACCCCGTCTCGGACTCGCCCCGCAAACTCAGTCACTCTCGCATTGGCTTCTTCCAAATCAAACCCAGTCTCCTTCTTGACCGAGTCGCCCAAATTGGACCAGAAGCGGACCGAGCCTTGCCGAAGCGACCGAGACAGACTCCGCCAAGAAAACCCACCAGACCCATTTGGATTTGCGGCGGCTAGAGCGCGAAACTCAGGTCTTTTACGATAAAGTTTGTGTCTTTGCTTCGTTAGGGAGAGTGAAGGAGTGGAAAAGAGAAGTGGGTTTGGCTTGTAGGAGATTTTAAGGTCCATTTTTTGGGTAAAGATCTCAGAATTGAAGAAGAGAATGTTGGGTGGAGAAGAACAAGTACATGAAAAGCATTTTACAACAAACAAATTTTTTTTTTTTTTTTTTTTTTTGAGGAGGTTTAATTAGGGGTTTTGGGTTTTATCCATATAAGGCTAGTAATGGTGGTGAGTATATATTATAGACAAACAATAACAAATTTGTGCATATATATATTACTAATGGATAAATGGAATGCATGAGAGTTGACTGTTGAAAGCAAGTGTTCGTTGATTGACAGTGGTTTTTCTATTAATTTGTTTGCGCGGTTCCGTTCCATCTGAGTTTCAGTCCAGAGATGACATGAAATGGAATCATGAATGATGAATGTGTGTTTTTCCGGCTTTCTGACGAGTTGGGTTGGATCTATCTAATCGGGTTTTGGACCTATAGTTGTGTTGGACTTTAAAGAGAACTGCCACAGATTTTAAACTTGGATTCGCAGAGAATACCACAACCACTGCACTATATTTAAAATACCAAAGTCTCGTCTATTTTGTAGATTCGAGTTTTCAATTCGAATTGAAATATGATATTTTTTCTGAGAGCTTTTCACTGTAGCAGAAAAAGTTAAATGTGACATTTTCTGAGAGCTTTTGACTGTAAAAATCTAGAACTAAAAACTTGAATCAGTGAAATAAACGAGGCATAAATATACCTTTAGATAACAGTAGGTCTCTGACCAGAAAATCAGTTCCCAACCAAGATACCTGCTGGTATCTAGCCACAATATCAAGATATCCGGTGGTATCTGACGAACAACCACCAGCACTGGCGGTAGTAGTCACCGACAACTACCAACTACCGGTGCCAACCAAGTCTTTGGTATCTTACAAGATACTAATTGGTATCTTGCAAGATACTAGTTACCGATCAAGAACCACCGAGTCACCAACCAGTAACCACCAAAAATTGTCCGAAAACCACCGTTAACGGCGGCTGCCAACCGGAAAACCAATTCACAGAAAAAAATCACAAAAATCACATTCCAGATCAGAAAAAAATGTAAATGATGAAAAAACAATAACGGATCTTGAACGCGCGGCCATGAGAGAGATCTCCCGCAAGTCTTTGGCCTTGGCGCATGGTGCTGTATTTTTGGTTCGTCGCAGATCTAGAGGTGCCCAGGCAAATGCTGCAAATCTCCACGGCGGAATGGATCGGCTCCTCAAAGTAACGACGTCGCCGATCTGTTTGGGGAAGCATTTCCCGACGAAGGAAGAGGCAGAGGTGGGAAGCTTTGCATCGAGCTCCTCAGCGTCGAACTCCGCTAAGAAAACATGGCGGCAAGGATGGATCTAGTTCGCAATGCTCACATCGTCTCTGTCAGCGGCGAAGACGGATCTCGAAGATCCATGGCGGCCAGTGAGGAGATCGATACACGTGGGGAGTAATTCAAGTGTTAAGTTTTAATTACCATGCTATTATTAACAAAGAAAAACTAATTTGGAGTAATTCAAGTGTGAAGTTTTAATTGCCATGTTATTATTAACAAGAAAAAACTAATTTGGGTAAATGAAAGAAAAAAAGTTAGAAAAGTAGCAAACAGTGAAAAATATAAAATTTTGGGAAAAAAAAGCAAAAGATAAAAAGAGAATATGAAAAAAAAAAAGTGAACAATAATTCAACGGTGAACATTATTCATAAGTGGTAAATTTCAATCAAAACTAGCGTCGTTTTAGTTAAAATACTATGCATAAATAGTGAAATTATTGAGATTTCTGCATATTGTTATAGATAAAAGTGAAGCACATGATCATGGTAGCATAAAAATTATAATAAAAAAAAGAACAGAAAGAAAGAAAGATTCACGGCACATTATGGAATTATTTGTCAGCGTCAGCAAAACAAAACAACCTCGTTCGTTTTGCTGATTCGAGTTGAGATGTGATTATATGTGTGAACTTTTTACTGTAATAAAAAAGTTAAATGTGATTATTTGTGAGAGTTTTTCACTGTAGCCAAACTCGAATTCTAAACTCGAATCAGCAAAACGAACGAGGTCATTTATTTCATGAACCTTTTAGAATTATAACCACGCACTTTCGTAATATTAAAAATAATTATAATATGTAGCATTAATCAAAAAAATATTTAACGTTTAAGTTTTTTTTTTTTCTGAACTATTTATATAGCATTATCAGATTACCCATAAAAGGAAAGGAAAGAAAACTACTCAGTTTTTCTTCTGTTACGTTTAAACAGCATCCATGATCTTTCTTTTTCCTTTTTACAGAGAATCCTCTAGCTTAAACTAGAGAAGTTTAATTTTTAACGTGATTCTATTAAATAAATCCACGTGAACAAGCATACATGTAAACATATACACACATTATATGAATGGATTATATAATTAGATGTGTAACTCACGGAGAACCAAGCAATACAACGACACCAACAGACTAACCTGCCGTAGACTAGTAGTAAGCACTTGTGCTAGGAAATAGTAGACGGAAAATAATTTTATATATCTAATCACAATCTTAAGCTTGCAGCAGGTAAAACACACTTGTACAAGTGCCAAAAAAATGCCATTCACAACACAAGATCCATTAGCGATTACTCTAGTAAGTTTAATTTTGATGACAAAAACATTAGTTACATATGAACAACCAAGAAGATGAGACGATTACTTTTCAAAATTAAAAAGAGAAAACAATAGGATATTAACACATTTCAAGCCGCTACATTAAAGGAGAAAATACAATAATGCTACAACATCGTCAAAGCTCCGACAGAATGGCGGGGATATAATGGGATAACTCGGCAGTCAAAGATTGGAATCCATTTACAAGCTGTGTGTGGAATTCTTGGTCTTCCTCTCCAATCAATCTGAAGTGTACGCGGATCGCTCGCTTGCAAACGGCCATGAATTCAAGGAGCGCAGCTATGAGTTGCTGCAGTTCCTGAGACCGCAGCCTCGTTGCTGGCTCACCGGACAAGAATGCAGTGCATACACTTAGTACTCCACTGTTGACCTGCACAAATAGAAGAAAACTGATGAGATGCCATAAGAGCATGTATCCCACAATGGAAAATAAACCATGCTTTTGACTGGGCAGTTGGTAAAGAAGGTCGTATCAACAAAGATAGATTTGAAAATTGTAGTACAGAAATTATAGATTGATAAACCATTCCACAAAACTAACCTGGACTGCAACACTGCCTTGAAGAATCCTTTGTAGGCTTTGCAAACGTGGGAGTTGGTCCCCTTCAGAACTTCGAGGCTCTTCAAGTTCATTTCGTAAAGCAGCAGTTCGAGTTTCAATCATTCCGATTGCATTTTCTACTGGAGAGAACTCAAGTGACTCGGATTTCGTTACCAAGAGCCTGTTAACAAGTGCAGGAAATGAGCCCTCAGTCTGAAGAACGGTTCTTCTCTTCCATTGGTCTTCCAATCCGCCTTGAGTCTTTCCATTCTTGGTAAATGGGGTATCAAACAAAAATCGGTCGAAAACCCGTGCACGGACGCTTCCAGTTGACAGAGAAAAGATTCTCTCCCTTCTGCTACCCAAATCTTCATCTTCCATGACTGGATCAACAGCAGTTATTTGAAGATAGCAGACTCCAGGCTGCAATTCATCTGCCTTCACTTGCCTAGAATCTGGAATAATGTGCAGGGTGTGGCTCCCATCCATCCGAGACTCGTAGATATGACTAAGTTTCTCCATTATGTCACCGAGCCGTACATCACGGGGCTCTCGATAAACATATTCTTTTCTGTCCAGCTTTCCAAATCTCTCACCATAAAATCCAACCCTATAGTAGGTGGCATCAGTGAATGGAATTGGACTTGATTCCTGCTCAAGAATTGATTCGTAGATATTAGTAAGCATAGTGTGACATTTTGCCAGCTGTCCGTACGCCCTCCTGCTCTTGTAAACTGGAATGACGAGTTCCAGAATGCTTGCACAAAAATGAAAGAGCTCAGCTTGAGAGAAAAGTTTATTTGCTAGTTGTAGGTATTTCACAGCAGAATCAACTGTGAGTTTTGAAGCACCATATCCCTCCACCTCAGCTGCAGATGCCTCAGAGGAGATCTCACTACTCACCATTGGGCATATTTTACGTAGAGCAGTTATATGATCTTTGCTCCAAACGCCATCGTTTCTAGCCACAAGGGCCTGTAAATAATTGAAGTAGATTCTTTAGCCACGATGGCTTGTACTCTCATCCATACTTGGAGCAAAATTAGCATTTTCTAGCCATTCAACATTAAAGAAGCGACATTATCATGTGAAGAACAGCTATGATCAGCCAATGTGTGTGCCTATCAACTTACCACTTTAGTAGATAAATTTTCAGATTTCAAACCACTAAAAGATCCCTCATTTCTTTTTTTCCTTTAATAACAAGGTGTTATAAAAATTTCTAGAAAATCCAAGCCTTTTCTAGAAACCACATGGGCATCAGATCCTAAACACGTACCTTATTAACAAGCTTTCAATTGAATTAGAGGTAACTAAACTAGAAACCAAAAGTAAAAGTTTTTTTTTTTTTTAATCATCACAAGAAATAATCTGTTGTTTACCTGCATTACCACTCCAGCTACAGCCACAGCACATTGGGCAGCTTCCGCCCAGGACTGCATTTCTTGATGTGCGTCACATAGATGAAGTAGCCACATTATGTGAAGATCTGGAACAGGGGCAAACGCCATGGCAAGTTTATGAAAGCTTTCAGCAGCTGCATATCTATCCATAGTCATCAAAGAGCCCTGAAAAAAGGTTTCGTGCAGTTTTACGACGTTAAAGATTTGTTCACGATGACAAAAATAAAGAAATGCAGTCTGCATATAAAGGGGGGGGAACTGGGACTAAATAAGTATGAAGCACAACATTGTTAAACTTACCAAAAGCGCATGTTCCAAACTGCCATCGAGGGCTAGGATTAGACTGTCAGAGAGATATTGCACATCTGACCAGGACCACTTGCTCTCTGTCATTTTTTCTGGGATTGCCAATAGTGCAGTCTCAGGAAGTCCACACTCCCTCAACAGATTGGGGTTCTTATCTTCATCTGACATTCCATTCAAAGATTTTCTAAGGCGTCGTGCTTCACCACTCTCTTCTAACGTCCCATCAGTAATCATCACAAGAAATAATCTGTTGTTTACCTGCATTACCACTCCAGCTACAGCCACAGCACATTGGGCAGCTTCCGCCCAGGACTGCATTTCTTGATGTGCGTCACATAGATGAAGTAGCCACATTATGTGAAGATCTGGAACAGGGGCAAACGCCATGGCAAGTTTATGAAAGCTTTCAGCAGCTGCATATCTATCCATAGTCATCAAAGAGCCCTGAAAAAAGGTTTCGTGCAGTTTTACGACGTTAAAGATTTGTTCACGATGACAAAAATAAAGAAATGCAGTCTGCATATAAAGGGGGGGGAACTGGGACTAAATAAGTATGAAGCACAACATTGTTAAACTTACCAAAAGCGCATGTTCCAAACTGCCATCGAGGGCTAGGATTAGACTGTCAGAGAGATATTGCACATCTGACCAGGACCACTTGCTCTCTGTCATTTTTTCTGGGATTGCCAATAGTGCAGTCTCAGGAAGTCCACACTCCCTCAACAGATTGGGGTTCTTATCTTCATCTGACATTCCATTCAAAGATTTTCTAAGGCGTCGTGCTTCACCACTCTCTTCTAACGTCCCATCAGGCTTCAACTGAGTCACTTGCACTTCAGACATCAGCTCGGACAATGTAATAATCAGCATGACTCTCAACCTTGCCGTCTGCATAAAGTAATAGAACGAACACTGCAAAAAGAAAATTAAAATTATTTGTCCACAAAGTAGATACCAAATCATATGCGGTGATACAATGAGTGGACTAGAGAACCAACCCTAACAAGAATCTGAAGCCCAATGACGGCCCTTTTCCTGATGTTGTCATTCCTGAAAACTGCAAGTCGAAGAAGATGGAAAGTAACTTGTTTCAAGAACCGATCATTCTCCCTTGCCATCAAAGTTGCGCCATGAAGATTGTATACACTGTTGAAAACAGGAAGCAAAGCTTTCAAGAAAGCCAATGGTTGATTTCGGGAGAAGAAGCTCATAAAAATGGCTGTGACACAATCAAGTTTTCCATAGTCTGTAGCAATACTATGTGATGCTGCCATGATGGAAAATTTCTCAGTTATTTCCAAAACCTGAAGACTGACAGAAGCACTCAAGTTTTCTTCCCAAAGCTCCTGAGAGTAATAAAGTTATTAACAAACTAGAAACAATATATGATTGAAAAATACTGGGAAGATAAAAGAACATTGTGCTAAAAATAAAAATAAAAATAAAAAAAATAGCCACTGCAGTCATCAATCAAAAAAAAAAAAAAAAAATCTCCACACAAACTATACCAGTTTTTGCCTCAATATCGGGTGTAGAGATTCTCTAAGGGCCTGAGCAGAAGCGCCAATTCTAGAAGATTGTGCCTGAGCAAGAGCTTCTCTCAATGAATAAGGTTGGCTAGGAGAGCTTAACTGAGAATTCACTCTCTGCCACAGATAACCATTTTCAGGCGTTCCCTGAGGCTGCAGGAGAGAGATTCAACATACATGAGCATAGATAAAAATGAGCAGATTCCTATCTCTTAAAATATCTACAATTGGGACCAAGAGGCATGTATCAACATAATGAAATGACCCACTACTCAATTCATACAAAGATAACCTCTCAATATAAATGTAATAACAAAAACCAAAAAAATAGACAAAACATGAGAAGCAATTGGCTTCTTGATCTAAGACCAGAATAAAACTCACTCTAACTTCTTGTCTTGATGCCTCAGACAAATAATTATTGATTGAGGGAGAAAGTCTATCAGAGTATTTAGGGGAAGCAGGGGCATCCCCAACAGGACTGCGAGAACTAGATCCCACAAGCATGACATCAGCAGATCTTCTATGCTGTAAAATAAATCGTGTACAGTTAGTATGACTGGCAACGGAAATAGAAAGAGTGAAAGGTTGCTATTATGGTTGATAGTGTATCACTGCTGTAATAAGCCCCACCATTCAGTTATACTTGGAATTGGAGATAACAATGCAAAACCATTAAGTAATTAAAGAATTTCAACTCAATCAAAATGAAAAAAAGGCCATTGGCATTCACGTACCAAGATTTTTTTTCCTTCTTTTTTTTTTTTTTGGAAAGTCACGTACCATTACCAAGATTCTAAACAAGTAAATTAGGTGAAACAGACAATCACATGATAAAGAGAAAAGAAAGGCAATAATTGAGCAACCTCAAAAAGCACAAGCGATTCCTCCATGAGTTTGAAAAATAATCTGGTCCGTGCAATGCTCTGTTGCCATGCTTTCACCAGTGATGCATCATCAAGATTTCGCACAATTTGCAAAATAACAATTAGAACTTCACGCTTTTCAACTGCATTAAGATTGTAGAAGACCGGCATTTCATCCAAAATCTGCAGACCATAACACCACTAATGAATAATAAAATTGACAGGACAGAACATAGAATACTGTTTTTTTTTTTTTTGAAATGATAGGATACTGTTGATTCTACAGTACTAAAGGAGACAAATTCCCATCACTTTTCTGTGGAAAATGTTAATTTCAAGCAGCGATTATGCATACTAAAATTCTTGCTATTAAAATACAGATCAATTTATATGCCGTAGTAAGAAACTTGGATTGCACCATTCACCTGGCCAATAAGAGGAAAATATAGCTGTGCAATATACAGCTTATCTTCAGGCTTTTGGTACCGAGCATCAAATTCATGCTTGCACAGGAGGACCACCAAAATTCTAGCTGCCTACAGAGATAATATTGCAAGGATTGTAACAACATAAAATACATCTGTATCTCATAAAAGAATGCCATTACAATAAAATGATATATTTAGCAGGGAGAGATAATGGCATTGCAAGAAAATTCTAAAAATTTCCAAGACAAGTGAGACATATGTAAATCAACGATGTAAGAAGTATACAAATGCATCCTCCAACATAAATGAGTGCATTATTTATTCAAACTCACCTTTGCTCGCAAAGATAAGTCATCGTGATCCCATGTAAGGAAAAGCTCTTGAATTAGGACAGATGAGAGGTAGTTCCTACAACATGCATATCAACCTCATTATCACATATTAGATTGATAAATTTCTAAGAAAGTCTAATTACTATTAAAAGAGACCATTTCATTTGGATTTACATAGTTAAGTGCAAGCTAGTCATGGTATATGCAACGACCAATCTATTTCATTGATTAAATACCTATCTGAAGGGTCTCTCCCAGGCATTTCAACAAAAAGGTCGTGATCACAGATAATGTGCAAAAATGTGAGCTTGCAATCGTGCAGAGCAGGTTGACAAACTCCAGAAAACTTATCCAGGTACAAGGACACCTACAGTGGAGCAAAGACTACCAGATAAATAGCAATAAAGAAGCTGAAATAAAAACAGAACCGAAGCCCACACTCAAGTTTGTTCGTGTGAATATTATCTCAATACACCTTGCAAGCAGTACGTAGCATTTATTTTTAACTCAGACTTAAAAGGCCATGATGTTTCTTTTCTCATTGTATATACACTCTCTTCCTATCCTCCCTTCCCTTCCTTCTGTGCTATTTACTTAGACCCTCCCTACACAACAAGACTAGCAATAAACAAATACAACAGAGAACTAGAGAGTATTTCTGCTTAACATTTGAATAAAACATGATGTCATTTAGCCATAGGGGTCAACCCTAGATCACATACAGGAACCAAATACAGAAACTAAGTTAACCAAATTAGGCAGAAAGCATACCAATTCAAAAACTTGGCGAGGTTCTATAATTGACAAAAGATCATAACAAAAGAAAGCCAAACTACTGTTCAAGCGTTTTGCGAGGCTTAACCCCTTCTTACAACGCTCGTGTACTTCTGTCAGCAGGCAATCATACAACTGCATGATACATCTGGAAACACCTTCTTTAAGTTGCATGGGTGGAATATCTTCACCTGTACCATAGAAGGAGCTAAAATATTAAACATGAAAAGGAAAGAGGAAAGTTTCTGAAAATACATGTTCTCACTGCAACTTACCTAGTGGAAGACTATGATAGAAAAGGCGAGTTTTTTCCAATGCCATTGACTTGACAATAAGTTCAAGAAAAAACCAAGCCATGGCTAAAACATCATCATATACAGGCCCAACACGGTAGCCTTTAGCCTACACAACCAACCTCATAAATTTACACAAGTTTAAAGGGAGAACAAAATAAAAGGCAACAGATAGTAAACATATGTGGTACTAATGGGACAAATGATGAACAATAGTGGGAAAAACTCACCTTACTTCGAGCCAGGCTTCCCCAAACAGTGGACAGACCAGGATAAACTGGAGGCTGACGACCCCCAAAGTCATCAAAAGCATAATCAACATAGTTAACTAGAAAATGATTCCTTTCAGCATCATCAACTGACTCCTGCTGCACCCTACAGATGATATTCCACGGAGTGTCAACAAAATCCAAAATCAACCAGTAGCTTAAACGAACAAACAAGAATATACATAAATATATGTACCAGTCGGATCCCAAAATACATTAAAAGCTTCTCTCTGTCCCATATAGAGATATCAGAATTATCTTGCATAAGCAATTACATCACAGTTCCCTATGAGTTCTAAACTATGTAACATAAATATATGTATCAGTCGGATCCCAAAATACATTAAAAGCTTCTCTCTGTCCCAGATAGAGATATCAGAATTATCTTGCATTAGCAATTACATCACAGTTCCCTATGAGTTCTAAACTATGTAAAACCATAAATTGACGCACCTGGTAACAATATTAACCATGGCTCTAAAAGCTGCAACCTAAAAAAACAGTGGGGAAAAAAATTAGATGGCAGTTTACCATATGGTGAATAATCCAAAATAAAGCCAGGGGGCGGGAAGAAAAGAATAGGCTAGCTCATTGTATGCTCAATTAAAGTCATCAAAATAACTACAAAAAGACCATGAATTTCATAGCAAAATTTATTAATTAAAGAGCCCTAGAAGAATCTTATATGTTACCTGGAGGGTTTCTCCACCGTTGCCTATCAGATGGAGAAGCATATTCAGAATTGGATGAAGAAACTGAAGCAAAGCAGTGGAATCAACATTCTTCAAACTGTTAATAGCCTGTGTGCAAAATTAAAATTTAATTACTCTGTCCTATAAAGCCCTAAAACGGTGTTACAAAATTTTGATCATCCAATTCACCTAACCATCTAACACTTCCAAAAATATATCAAAAGACCAAACCCTCCAAACCAGAACAGATGGCTTTGGAGTACGCATGACTTTTATAATACTTAAATTTCACCGCGAAGTAATAATATAATTGAACCAATGACAATGCCAATTTTGGAAATTTTAAATTACAGTGACAAGTAACAACTTCCAACCCTAGACACCAACTTTTATGATAGAATTAGTAGAATTATTTAAGGTTGTGTTCTTATCAGAAAATCTAATGCCAAATTGGCTTAATTACATTGGGAGAAAAATATGACAAAACTTTGCAAATAGTTTTCTCAAGAGGGTGATTTAGAACATTAACTTATAAAATATACATCATATTGATATGCCAAACAGTAATTAAATAGAGCATACTGGGATGCAATACCTCAAGAAGTTCAGAACCCCAAGGTGGGCTTGTTCGAAGAGTGTGCCTATCATATTCAAGAAAAAAATCTCTAATGCGTTCATTAATAGGGTACAATGACGAACAAAGTCTTAAGCGCAATCTAAAGATATTCTTTCCATCTTCCAAATAATCCAGCCTCTCCTACAATGAGATTAAAAAACAATAAAACCATCCATTCCAGATAACCAAAACTAACAATAGCGTAGAAAATCATAATTAAAAAAATCAATATTAAAAAAATCAATAAACTGTATCAAAATCTTGATATATTCTCAAAGCATACCCTGCTAGAATCCTGGAGATAATGTGGAACCAGCTCTTTCATGATCGGTAAAGAAATCTCAGATCGCAACCTGAGAAAAATCATAACATTATATTCTGCACTATCATAAACCAGATAATAGATATCTTAACTATATTTTCAAAGAAAGAAACACTTTATCGGGGCCAAAAATATCTTCTTTTTTTCTTTTTTCTTTTTTTTTTTTTTTTTTTTAAAGAATGAAACGGAGGAGGAAAATCACTAAGGTATATACATACTGAGCATGTGTAGATAATGGGAGAGAAGCATATCCAATTACTACCTGGAAAATGGATAGAAAAATCAGTTATTTCAATAAAACTAAAGCATCCTTAAAAACCAGAAGGGGTGGGTGGTGGTGGTGGTGGAAAATCCAGAAATTATCCATGACTAGTTGAATCTTACGGGCTTTGGAGCTTCCATTTTCGTTTGAAGATCAACATGGAATAAGGTGAATAAGAGATGATGAGTTGGTGTCCAGGTAGCAGGAAGCGAAAGTTTGATCTCATCATGGTAGCAGGCTACCCTAGCCCCAACAGCAACTTGTGTGTGAGCCCACCTCTGGAGTGTTGTACCATGCTCCCTCGGATACATCGCCTGCTCAAATGAGCCAGCAGAGATGAAACAACTACCGCAAAAGTATTCATAAGGAAAACAGAATTTAGTTCATGGAAGTGATCAGGATGTACTTACCTCTAAAGGCTGTCTACGAATATCAGTATCGTCCTCCCTAAGCTCAACCCGCACAAACAAATTCCTCTTCCGACTTAAACTAACAGTTAAGGGATATACATAGAGAAAATGAAAAAGCTGCAAAAAGGGCTCGTTTCTTGTTGTAGTGCGGAAGTCGAAAGCTTGGAACTGGAAGTTAACCGACACAATCATTTAGTTAACTGGGAACATAAAGAAAGCATTAACTAAAAACATAATCAAGATTCAAAATACTACCCATGATTGTAAAAATTAGTTAAACTTGTCATGCGTATGCTGCGTGCATGACAATAACATAAAGAAATTTAAGTGAAAAATTGAATTACAACAAGGGACAACAACTAGATAGTAGGTACACGTATCCCAAAAGAAATGTCTTATAGGAAGCGATAGTTTGAGTTCAAAAACAAGAAAAATAAAAAACACAACACAGCAGGGTCATACTTACATCATCAGCATTGCAATCTTGACCCCTTTGAACATTTGATCCATTTCCAGCATCAAAAGAATTCCACTTAGAATGGCTGCCGTGAGGCCCATCTGAACCATTACTGGGAAGCTTCCCATATGAGGAATCAGTAATGTGATCCCCTGGATCAACAGAATCATTGGTCACACTACCACTTTCTGATATATTTTCCAAGTCAGCATGGTCAATTTGGTGCTTCTCAATTTCCAGTCTCAGAACACCTTTCACAGGTTTATGAATTTTGCGTTTTGGATCCTACATATTACAGGAAAACCACCGTAATGACACAAACACTCCATTAAAATAAATAAATAAATAAGTAACAGTAAGAACTATGAATAATTGTGCAAAGCACACAATGAATAAATTCACAGAAACAGCCTAAACATGGAGCATTACATAAGGTAATGCCATTCACATGCTATCAAGCAAAATACAAAAGATATTCACATGTCACAGAACTGTAGATGATTAACTGATGGTATGTCAATCAGGGGCTCCATATGATGTGAAAAGCTAATTAAACTTAAAAGTAACAAAATGCTAGCTGAAGAAGCATGCTCTTAAAAAGGAAACAAATGAAGATAAATAAAAACTTATAAAGATGTCTGCTATACCTGAAGTGAGTCCTCTGTATAGCTTTCTTTAACTTTATTTAAGTTTGATATTTCCACTATAACAGAGCTCCCACTTGAATAACCCAACTTCCCATCTAAAGTGACCTTTGCACTAGGCTCAAAAAGCCCCTCATGGGAACTTGAACCAGACACACTCGGGGCAAGAGGGCTGCTTGGGGAAGCAGACCCACCAGAAGCTGCAGTAATGCTGTTATCAAATAATGAAACAATGGCCCAGGCGAAGGACTCTCTGTAAGGCATTATTTGAGACCACACCTGCAGTTTTTGCCTCTCCCTCTCAGTCAAGTGAACCTGTTTCGATCAGTTAAATAAATGAGATATAGACTAGGTTTGAAAGAGGGATACTTAATGCATATACATACAAGCCAAAATTCATAACAAAAGCCTCAAGTCACCAACATAAATAACACAATTTTTTCCTAAAATAACCATGGGAGAACAAATTGATACAATATTTATTTGTTTTAGCAGACCCTGCCGGAGTAGGTTTCCCCACATTTTGTAATAAAAAAATCCTAATCTACATCTACATCCTGATGCAGACAGCCTACCACCCATCTTACACAAACAGGAATAATCAACAATAAAACCTTTTTTTCTGATTTAAGAAGTTTCTCAAGCATTATAACAATCAAGGCAAACACAAATACTACAGAAGCACTTCAAAGTCCAATGATCTTCCACTAGGAAAGAACCCAGAAATTGCAATGTAAAATTTCAATCCAGAATTAGCTTACATGTTATCAAGGCAACAGCAACATATTATGGTATATAAAAAGGAAAGTTAGTTATGTTAGCAAAGTTCCATGAATTGATGCAAGTAGGGGGCCTAAATGTATTTATAAAACTAAGTCACAGGAGTACTTGAACATTCACATACTGGCTCTTTACGAGAATAGACAGAAGGAGAAACCCCGCCTTCTTCCGTCACATGCCTCTCTAGCTGAATTAGCAGACAAACTGATGCTGATGGTGCATCTAAATAAAAAATACCACGAGATTCAAAAGAAATATTGGCCTGGAAGAGACAACAGAGGAAATAGTAAGCTCTTAGACAATAATTCGTGCAAAAAGATCACCTGATAAAGATATCTTAAGAGTTGATCAACGTTGAGAAAAAAAAAAAAGGAAGAGAAGAGATGCTACAATAGTCTTATAACTTACATCCTGCGTATCAGTCGGTACCACACGGAAATAGAAATCTTCAGACAATTTTTCCCGTCGATCCCTATTGAATAAGCATATTGTACCATAAAATGGCTCTATAAGGGGGAGAGAGATAAAGACAGATAGATCAGTATATTACATACAACTCAAAAGTTGCAAGAAATGGCATTAGTACCATGGGGAGAAAAGAAATAGGGATTGAGACACCAGTACAAACAGTGCTTACCAATTAGCCCTGCTTGGAAAGATAGGGACAAAACTTTGACAGAGATCTTCAATCCACTGAAACCACCCAGGAGATGGGGAAAAGAAAAATAAATCAATATGGGGGGAGTGGGGAGAAAGCCAAAAAAAACTGAGCAACAAGGTTTTTGGCAGTGCCATACTGGGATATAGGAGTTTCTGGAATCCTTTGACCAAATATCATCGACCTTTCGTTTTCCCAGTCAAAAGCCGGTTCATAAGCTGGTAATGGGGACTGACCAAAGTGCTGCAAATAATTTTTTTGTATTCAAGAACTCATCAATCCTTGTGAACTTGAGGAAGTAAAGGTGAAGTAGAAGGAAGCTAAAGGAACGATGCGTGTGAACCCATAAAAAAGGCTATAAACCAGTACAACCTTCGGGGTATTCGATTGCGATGCGTCAGAAGCAGTAGCCTCCGCAAATTGCCTTCCTGAGGTACTTGGCACATCATCATCAGTAGTATCTTCAGCCTTGGTTCGCCTTGCACTAGCAAGACGCATTTCTGTATATAGGTTGAAGAAGTTTTGTAGACCATAAGAATCCAATAAGGAGTGGGAAAACAAATTCTGTGCCAATATACTCCTTACTCAATCCTGTCCTATTCTTCACAATAAAAAGATCCACCAAGTACAGAGAGAGAAACTAACCCTTCTACCATTCTTTTTTCCTTTTTTTCATTTGTACTCACACTTTTGACGCATAAAGGCTGTACTTTGGACTTCTAAAATAATTCTTTCCACTCCAAAAGGTACATTCACAAACAAATAAACTGAACAAAAGTCATGGTTCAGGTTCACAACTAAATGCCACAAAACAATTCCTTTCTTTACCCTGTATTTTGTAATACCAACAAATATATAACTAACCATACCCAAAAAAAAAAAAAGTAAATATTTTTTTTGGTTACTAATTATAGACTTAAGCAAAGGATGAACTTTCTGCCAAATGCTAAAATTTCCAAGCTAATCGAGTACAATTCGCAAACAAATCCTAATAAAAAAGAATAAGTAAAAAGAGAACTTTTTTTTACAACAATACAAATGTACTAGAACAATCAAAAAAGAAGAAGAAAAGAAAAGGTTTTTACCAGTCTCGATATCAGTATCAGGACCTTCATAAATCTGGTTCTGGAACGACACAGGACCGATACTCTCGTAGTGTCCGTACTTGTTCTCGTCCTTCACCATGTCCGCGGTGTAGCACTGAACCAGCTCCTTCAGATGCGGCCATTGCTCCAAATTCTCCTCAAACTGAAAAAAAAAGTTCAAAATCAATGACAAACTAAACCTAAAACAACCAGAAAAAATCGAAATTTTTCCGGTCAATCGCTCCGGCATTACCTTGTTGTGCCATTTGGCGGCGGCCGGAGCGGAATCCCGGCGGGGCCGGAGGTGCTGCATTGCAGATCTAGGGTTTGGCTCTACGAAAAACGATGAAGAAGAAGAAGAAGAAAATGGTGACAATAATAAGAAGAAGAAAGTTTTGAGCTTGATTTCTGGAGAAGTAAAAGTAACGGTGAAATGGAGTTGAAGAGGGAAAAAAAAATAAAGGCAATTTAGTGGGATATTTGGTAGATCTAACCAAACCCAAAATGGAAGCAAAAAAATTAAAATCAAAATCAAAATTAAGACCAAAAAATTAAAATAAAATAGAGAGAAAGCAAGAGAGAGAAGTAGTTACAGAGCAAAGTCTTGTGAGCTGAGTAAAGGACTGTACACACAAGTCAAACTTCAAAGTGGAGTCCAAAGAGAAAAAAAAAAAATGAAAAGAAAAATTGTAATATATGGATTATTTTTAAAAATACCTCCGAACTATCTATTCTATTTTTAAGAGTCACTTTAAATTTTAAAACAGTTCAAAATATTCTATAATATGTAAAAAATGGTTCAAAATACTTTTTTTTATTCAATTCTGTATGTACTCTTTGACGTTTAATTAAGACCTTATTTATTTTATTAATTTAAATTTAAAATTTAAATTTTATTACAGTAAAAAAAATTTTAAAATAATTATATTTAATTTTTTTATTATAATAAAAATTATCACATAAAATTATATTTTAATTTAAATTAAAACTTTAAATTAATGAATTAAATAGACTTTAAATTATTAACAAATTATTTACTGACGTGACATGTATTAAAAATTAATTAATGCCATTACTCTAATTTTATAGGTAAAAATGATTAAGTATTAAATAGAAAAACGTAATTTAAAAAAAAATTACACATTCTCTCTCCCTTTTCTTCTATGTTGCAGGAACCTAAAACGTTTAGGTGGCGTTTAGTTCATAGATTCAAATTATGTTATTAGAATTATTTTTAATTTATGTGTATTTTTTATAAGAAAAAATACTATAACAAACCACGAATTATGATTCAAATCAGGAAACGAATCTAGATACCAAACGCACTCTCAATTTCTGTTTCAAGTTGGGGCTGCAGCGAGGTCTACCACTCTTCGACAAAATCGGACCCCAAGGCCTCGGGTCTTATAATAAAAAAGTACTACTGTTTGTTTGTTTTTTAAAAGAAAAAAAATTAACAAAATAAATAAATAGCTTGTAAGAAAAGCTAAATTTTTGCTTTCAGTACTGTCCCTTTCCTTTCTTTAATTAAAAATCTTTTTTTTGGGTATACTTTTTGGCTTCTGACCTAATACGCCTTCCAAGTAAAGCTACAGCTAAGCAGCATGGTTCTTCTGCATTAGTTTATGCGTAGCCATATTTATTTATTTGTTTTTATCTTTTCTTGTCCTATTTATTACTATGAAATTGTTTGTTAGAAAATAATGATCCGAACAATGTTTTTGGGCGAAATGAATGATTCCCCATATTCATGATTATTCTGTTTTATGTGTATTTTGTTTGTAATGAATTTGGAAAAGAATGGTCCTAATGATGTTTGGCCAAAATGATATATGTATAACATCTACAAAATTCACCCATATTCATAATATGTATGTATGTATTAACGGGAACTAGATTTTATTTTTGAGGACGTTAAGATTAAAATTATGATTTGAATCATGGTTCATAGTTTGTTATAGTGTTTTTTTTCACAAAAAATACACATAAGTCAAAAATAATTCTAATCTCAAATTTTAATCCATGAACTAAACGTCTCCTTAGAGTTTAACTAATTTGGGCCCCGTTCATTTCGTCGATTCGAGTTTAAAATTCAAGTTTTGCTACAGTAAAAAGTTCTCAGAAACAGTCACATTTAACTTTTTTGCTACAGTAAAAAGCTCTCACACAAAATCACATCTCAACTCAAATCAACGAAGTGAACGGTTGATCTCTCAATTTTATGAATCTTAAAAAAATGCATTTTTTTTTGTATTTGAACGTCAAATATGGACAAGAATTTTGATCACATGTTATTTTTCTTTTTTTCTTTTTTTTTTGTACTCTTCAATTACTACAAACGCCCCCCATAAGTCTGCATTGGACGCGAGTATGATTCACGGCCCGACAACAACATTTAAGGCCCACGCAAGTATGATTCACGGCCCAAAAACAACATTTAAGGCCCAGAAACACGTATTCATTGAAAAGGAAAGTAAAACAAACTCAAGACAGTGGCTGTATTTGCCTTGTTGCTTCAAATCCTCATGAACTCCAAGAATCGTATCATTGGTAGGCGTAAATTGCAGAAACAAGAAGTTAGCCTTTCTTCATTACTCGTCGCGTTTTCTTATGCTGGAAATTGCTAACCAACTTTTGCAATTTCCATAAATTAGCAGAGACGAGACTTGAAACTTGACGAAGTGTTCCTTAAAGCATATTCACCCCTCACTGTCCTTACTGAAGGTGTACGAGGCGTACAACAATGCTACGTTAGCAAACTAAAAATCTGTTCAAACTCTACCACTCTAAGGACGCTAGAGAAAGTAAAAGAATTTCTAAAATAAGAAGAATATTTTGAATTTTAGTGTCACTTAAAAGAGAAGGGATTCTCTTTTATAGGGTTTAGAGGAGACAATGACTTCGTCTCTTTTTAATGTGAGACAAGAAACTCCTTAATTTTTTTGAAGTTTTTCCTTTAATTTTACCTAATTTCGCGGGAGCATTTTGAGAGACAATTTTTCACTCACTCATTCACCATTTTGAGCATGTTGGGTTTTTTTCTATTAATTGGCATGTTTTTGTCAATTCAATTCATTTTTAGTAAATCTTGAATCTAGAGAAATTTGATTGTGAGTCTTTGCAAAAACTATTTCAAGATAATCAATTCGGATTGATTTGGATGAAGTTAACTTTTGGTTGTTTTGATAAGTTGAAATTTGAAGAGATGTTTGATTTTAAAAGAGAGATTTTGCTCTGGTGTATAAAACGTCTAGGTTCATGGAATTTTCCACAAGAATCGTGCTGCATTAAAGTGGAGATATCAATAATTTGTGAGAGTTAACTTTGTACCAGATTTTACAGCTCTATTGTTGCATTTGTTGCAACATAATTTGCAACGAGCTGTACACAATGAACTGCATTGAAGATTTCGACAACTAGATTATTTGGTTGTTTAATTGAAGTCTCACGATGATTTCTACACGCCTTTTGAGCTTTGAAATTACAGAATATCATATTATCTTATGAGCTTTTTTTTTGTTTTATATTTCTTCGGGAAAAGGAATTTGTGTTTTCCGGAGAAAATTAAGTATTAAAGGGATTTTAACTTTGTAAGTCGAGAGATCTTTCTGAGCAAGTCTATTAGGTAGTTACAATATCATAGGCGTCATACTTAGAGCGGGAGTCTCAAGTAAGTCCATTTGAGTTGTAATATTGCTTACTTAGTAGATTGTTCAAACGTCTGGTCGTGGTCCTGCAGATGTAGATGGTTACCGAACCCCGTAACCATCTCCTTGTGTCTCCTTACGATTATCTTCAAGTTTTGATAAATTGTTAATCTATCTAATAACAAAACTTGGTAATATTAATCTATCTAATAACAAAACTTGGTAAAAAGAATAAACCGGTACTTTTAGTGCATATGAATATATCATTCCAATATACTTACGACAAGAACACAAATCTAAATTAAAACATCACTAACACGGAGTGGGCCCTGCTCAAAATGGTACCTCAAAAAAAGATTTTCAAGTCATTTTTCCAACAATCCCCCACATGAGTGAGATTGACGGAGGCAATGAAACGAGCAACAAATATTAACCTGGTGATATAGTTTAACAATCGAAACCTGTGCAGGATATGTAGGTGTTACCCTATGAACTTCTCCTTGTGAGAATATATTTATTTCACTGACTAAACAATGGACGCGATGTAAATGATGATATACGTCACACATGAATATTTTCTGAAACAATTCAATTTTCACTCTTATGTTCATTTTTACTATGAGCATCTCCTTAATTCTGTTAGAGTTTATAGAGAATTAAGTCCTACAATTTTCTTTTGAAGCGGCATCATTTCTCTCTCACATAAATAATCTCTTATTTAAGAGTAATCCGCATTATTACCGACACATAAAAATCATTAAAAGCATAACTTATCCTTTTCATACGGACATCATTGTTTCATCATAGGAATGAGCATGAAGGTGACCCCCTTGAAGCAATCAAACTAAGTCTTTACAACTAAGTGTCCTTTTAAATTTAGATTTTAGGATCTCTAGTTAATTGGGTTGGGTTTACATTGTATCGACTTTCTATTTCATTGGCTTTAATCCTATTCTCCTCAATAATTTATTAATTAATTAGATAATCAAGCTATAAGATAAAGCTTTACCTTTGTACTTCAATTCATTTTTTCGCATTAATATAGTTCTTTGTGTGTTATCCACATAAAGTCATGCCTAGGCCTTTAGGTAAGGTTTGGCTTTATTTGTTTCAGATATTAGAATAATGGTTATCGTTTTGAGATATTTCGTTTACTTTACTTTAAAAAAAAAAAAAAAAAAAAAAAAAAAATTATTTTTTTTTTTTTTCTTTAAAAAAAAAAAAAAAAAAAAAAAAACTTAATTTAGTACTTTTAGAGAGGTTACGATTGAAGGCCTATAAATATAAGGCTTTACTTTCTAAGGAGTTCACTTTTTCTCATCACTGTAAGTGCTTTGCCTATTTGGTGTGCAGAATTAGGAAAAACTGGACATGACTAAAACCTAATACTGTATTTGGTGAACTAAAACCTAATACTGTATTTGGTGAACATTTTTAAAAAGACTATTAGACAAACTTTCATCTAGCCCATGCTCAAATATCCTTAGAAGGGGATGCGGCTATCTCGTGTTGAAGCATGAGATTAAACAAAACAAATTTTAAAATAGAACAAATTGTTAAAAAGAATTTCAGCACAAATGGTATTTTTTGAAGGATATTTTTCATAAATGGCCGAAGTTTTATAAAATTGTAAAAATAACCGTTTTCATTAATTTAGTGATTAATCATTGATTGACTGCTATGATTGACTAGCGGTCAATCACTGATTGCCTTAAATTTATCATTAATTAACTCGATTGTTCTTTATTATTAATCAACATTAGTTAATAATTAACCAAAATCAATTTGTAATTTATTAATTTCAACTAATAAATTACATGTTTATTAATGATAAATTATTGATAA